ATATGAAATTGAAATAGCATGGCGTCTTATAAGTTGGGTATAGACGCGGTCCACACTAAATTGAAGTCATGTTCAGACCTGGGATTATTATGGGATCTCGGGTTCAGTATGGACCGTGTCCCACTTCATGTTAGGTTAAACTTCAGACCACTTTATCAATGTTTTCTTTACACCTGTTTAATATTTTAGGCTCTAAGCTGGGTATAGACCGTGTTTGGGTGAAATGGGCATTAGAGGTCTATAACCCAAATTTGAATAGAAAAGTAAACTGCATTATTTTCATCCTCCAAGCAAGGCGAAAACATTACAGATTACAGTAGGATATAGGATGAATTCAACAATTCGCAGTGGGGCGGGCTTAATACTGAAGGTTAATGGGTTTTTCAGTACAGGTTAAATTCAGTCATTTGCTGTTAAACCATATCTGATCAGGTTGCTTGCTATAGTTCAGAAGGCTGATAGCGTAATCTTGCCAATAAGGCCACAATACAGGATCTGTTCTGACCAGTATCATAACCAGTAAATCGAACATGTTTTTTTGGTTACGTCTCCAGATTATCCTCTGAAGCCGAATGAATTGGAACTCTCTGTTCACTGGATTTTCTTGCAGCATATCTTCTTCGTCTGTGAACAGAGGAATTTGATATAAATTACAACTAACCTATGAATGTGTTTGACAGTAAATTTCAACATTCCACAGTAGGCAAATAACACTACAACAAAAGTATAAGTTTACCTTCTTCCTACCTTTATGTACATAGACACAAACGAGGAAGGGGAATCAACACATGATTATTAGTAGTTGTGATACATCACATCATTTCAATATTTTTTTATAAATACTTTATACCAAATGAGATTGTTTAGCAACGGTATGTTCTGTGGAAAAAAAATTGTTAATTTACTGTGCTACACATTCTCAAAATTAAGAAGATAATTTTATGTTTGAAGTTTACAACGGCTTAGCCTAACAGGTTTTTTGTTGAAAATTAACTGTATGATTATATGTATGATCATAAAAATGTGAATATAAGGCAACAAAGCCTGAATTCTCACCTTTTCCTTACTCCTATAAATACGAGTACAGCAATGATACCCAGAAACAGTAATGCACATCCTATTCCAGCATAAGCTCCATGGGAAAGTGTCATGCTGTTATCCTTGTTCTTTACTTTTGTCACTTTGCTGGGATCAACAGAGTCACCATCGCCAGAGTGACCTTTTACCGGATTCTTCCCAGGTCCGGTGTCAATGGGATTAATGTGCACAGGAATTTCTGTATCAGGAGAGAGACAGTATCATGAAGTAAAGGGCAACCAGTTTAAATTTTTACCACGACCAATGGCTTATCAATCAGTAGAGTTACATAAACACTGTAAAATGGCACAGTTTAAATTTTTACCCCAACCAATGACTTATCAATCAGTACATTTACATAAACACTGTAAAATGGCACAGTTTAAAATTTTACCCCAACCAATGGCTTATCAATCAGTACAGTTACATAAACACTGTAAAATGGCACAGTTTAAATTTTTACCCCAACCAATGGCTTATCAATCAGTACAGTTTCATAAACACTGTAAAATGGCACAGTTTAAATTTCATTTGGTATTCTTGGTTACAAGTTCCAGAATCATAACTTGTTACACATTTTCCTGATCAAAAATAAATGAAAAGTGATTGGTAGGGGGAAGGGAGGAGAGGGGGAGGGGGGAGGAAATTCAAAGGGACTTGCCCGTTGTATATTACTAAATTGGGGTAAACTTCTAACAAATCACATGGTACACAGGTATTTTGTTTGCCTAGTATGCATGCATTATATTGCAGATTCAAAAATGTGCGAAATGACATAAAAAAGTTGCCACTTATCATTGAAAGAGAGTACTTAAAAAGTCTCTGCCAAAAGCTTGTTGAGATCACAGGATAGACTACTATTGACAACATTGCTTGGATGCAGATAGTTTTGTATTATTCCCTCCATCCCACTCGTAGATTTTCGGCAGTTATATTAGCTTTCATATAACACCACATGATATATATATTCAATATTGATTATTTCGTGTATGAAATTCAACAACAAGAGGCCCAGAGGGCCTGTATCGCTCACCTGGATATTTAAGCAATCATGGCAAAATATTCTCCAAATGAGATCTAAGGGAATATGCCAGACCCCAAGGCCAAACCTTGTAGCATATCTGTATTTGATTTTTTATGCCCAGCAATTTTATGAATGGTTATGGGGTGGGGATCTCGACTTTTTCCAAGCTGTGACTCAGAAACTAGGTCCCTAGGGTTGTGGCCAGACCCAAGGATCAATTCTAATATCATGACTGCATTTGTCTCTTTTTGCCCAGCATTTGTATATATAGTTTTGGGTTGGGGATCTCAACCGTTTCAAAGTTATGACCCAGGGGTTATGTCTGTGAGGTTGGGGCAGACCCTTGGGTCAATTCTAATATCACGACTGCATTCGTCTCTTTATGCCCAACAATTGTATATATAGTTTTGGGGTGGGGATCTTAACCGTTTCGAAGTTATGACCCAGGGGTTAAGCCTTCAAGGGTTGGGCCAGACCCTAGGGCAATCCTGGAAGCAAATGTGCATTCCTCTCTCTATATACTCAGCAATTGTATATATGGTTATATGGTGGGGATCTCAACCATTTCCAAGTAATAATTTTTTTTGGCCCCAACCCTTAGCCCGGGGGGTCAGCCCCACCATTTGTATAATTTTGAATCCCTGCCTCCCATGAATGCTTCCGACCAAATATGATCAATATCCATGGTATAGTTCTACAGAAAGTCGTTTATAGCAATACAAATGTATAGCCAAATTGCCCCCTTTTAGCCCAGCCCTCAGCCTCCTGGGGGGTCAGCCCCACCATCTGTACAATTTTGAATCCCCACCACCTAGGGATGCTTTCAGTCAAATATGGTTAATATCTATCTCTTAGTTCCAGAGAAGTCGCTTAAAGTAATATAGCTAAATAACCCTTTTTGGCCCCGCCCCTCAGCCCCACCATTTGTACAATTTTGAATCCCCACCACCTAGGGATGCTTCCAGTCAAATCTAGTTAAATTCCAATCAGTGGTTAAGAAGATGAAGTCGTTTAAAGAAATTGTTGACGGACGGACGACGGACGCCACAGTATGGCATGCGCTCACCTTGGTCCTTTGGACCCGGTGAGCTAAAAATTGATTGAATGTCCTGGTTTTATGTAAGCTTACCTGTGGTGGTGGAGTTTTGTTTTCTGATATACCAATCGTCATTTTCAACTTGTGTCTTGACTGTACAAAGAAAAACCATTAGTTATATGTGATGCATAGTAAAAAAAAATGAGAGTGTGTGAATTCACGGCATTTGTCCTGTAAAAAACGAAGAGGGGGCTAACACACACAAATATAATATAGGCAAAGAAGTAATGAGGACGATGTGGACAAAGAAATTTGTCAACTTTTTTAGGCTATCCACTCCCTTATCAAGACAAATATGAAACTTGCATATATACATGTTTATAACAAAATAAATAAAAAATAAAATAAAATAAACCACATTAATTACTATTAAATATATCTTTACTTGTACTTTTTCCTAGTTGTTTAAGGAATGCAATCTGGAAAATTCTGTGATTGTTGTAAGAATAAGTTGATTCAAATTTTACTTTGCATCCAGCTTTGAATTGCGGTCTTGAATTTGGTTCATATACTCACCAACACATGTACCATTTGGGGCCAGAACATAAGTTTTACAACACTCGATCACCTTCACATATACAATCTCTGAAGTATTGTAGTTTTTATTACAGTATTGTTCACTGAAAAAAACAAAATATATATATTATATGATTGTAAACTGAGTGTAAATTAAAGGTTTATATACATGTATATTCTATCCAAATCTCAATTAGTCTGGTCAATCCCCAATTTTTCCCACTGATTTTTTATACAATGTAGTTATTTACCGGTACTTCAAAAAAGTCAATAAGTCATTATCATTCCAGAAGAACTTAAAACTAAAATGTTAATAAATTTGAATGTAATTACATTTTTATTGTTGTAATGATTTGCATCAACGCTTTGTTTTATTCACTTTTCTTTTACATTTACCTTAACATGAATAGCATGTAGTTCCATAATGTACATACAGATATGTCTAGTATAGCACAGTACGTACAATGTAGGACTGGGAATTAAAAATGGTTGTTACAATTAAGGCATCTGTTGATGTTAACACATGTATAATATAAACATTTAACTTGTTTGAAGCAAATGCTTTAACCAATTAAAGCAGATAGCATACTTTGTAGAATACCTAGCTAGTAGTTAAAGTATAGGTCACTACATGTACAAAGAATGAACAATTTGATTTCCTGGCTAAAACATCTAGCCCTTATAACTAGTGTCTAATTTCAATACTGTATTAGGTAGGAGTTTTTAGGTTTTTTTTCCTTTTAACATCAATGTCATATACATGTTCGTACACTACAGTTTCAGTAACTTTTAATATTTCCTTGTAACAGGAACAAATTTGGAAAGAAATGTTGAGTGGACATCAGAGCAAATTAACTAAACATAATGACACCAGCTTCTGTATTTAGACAACTATTTCTCAATGGTTCCAAATCCCCTCTCATAATTATTCTGACTGTATAACATATAATGCTAGAAAGTCATTTTTTCAAGGTAATAACCAGAACCTTATTGCTTACACATCAAGTAGACTCAATCATAAATATTGTGCCAGTATAAAGATTTTAATTATATGGTAACCGCTGATATTTATACCTATCACGTATACAAACAGACAGCAAAAGACTTTTACACTGACTAGGATATACTGAGTGCATGTGCCATACATGTGGTAATGTATATATAATATGCTTTCATAAAAGATATAAGAATATTTCATACTGCCAGAAATAAATTCAATAAATGTTAATTAGCCTGCCTGGTCACCTACATTGACTACTACATATACTGGTAAATAAAGACTGTTATAGACAGCATTACAGCTGTTGCTAATGGTCTGATATACCTGTATATTACCTCACGCCACAAATTAAACGTCACACCACCTAAAGGATTAACAGTTGCACCAAAGTGTCACCAGACACTTTCATACTAAACAAAATATCACCAGTGTAAACCATGGTCACTTGGAAACATCACATACACAACAGTGTATTTAAATTAACATACAGTAAGTTAGTAAGAACCAATCTTGTCTATGATAATCGAATAAAATCACCTAAAAAAGATTGACAAACCAAGCCGACAAATTTTAAGGAACTAGAACTGAACTCTATTTTCCCACAACTTATTTTAAGCTACTAATTCAATTTTATTAATTTCTTAAAACTTTTTTTTTTTTATTACCAGGGTACATATAAATATTTGATGAAAATAACATTAACATAGAGAAAGCAGCTACATATATATGCTGTGCGTATACACGTGCATGTGATCATCAGCACTCCTCAGTACACAAATGATTTATAATTACCAACTCTAGGTCTATATAGCTATTTATAATATATATACCAGTATACAGTGATAGCACAATCTGAGGATCAAAGTCCGGGGTCACGCCACAAGTATTAACATAATCATAATACTTAATACACACTCCTAATGTCAAAGACCACTGCTCTGGTGTCAATCAAGTTCATTTATTACATTTTGTTCAGCGTAGCCAGAAAATTATTTCTGCATGATAGATTATATTGTACATAGTTATAAATATTCTACAAACCTATCATGAAGTATTTTGATGTTTAGTTATAGATGGCCAAGTTAAATTCCTACATGTACTGTAGCTGGGCTGGTGTATTGTACTGCCTAGAAATTTCATCAATAATGATATTTATAACCTGTATGTACATGATCTGTAACAACTTTACTTCCATTGTCGATGGGCCGTGAAACAATAAAAAAAACACCAGGTAAACTGATATCATCTTATACTGGAGGAAAAGAAACAGGTAAACTGATATCATCTAATACTGGAGGAAAACACCAGGTAAACTGATATTATCTAATACTGGAGGAAAAGAAACAGGTAAACTGATATCATCTATATAATACTGGAGGAAAACAAACAGAAAATTATCATGATTTTAACATTGAATATCCCTTCATTAAATTCAATTCCTAGGTGTTTATTTCTTCATGTAATGTATATAAGTTTGTATTCTATTAATTTGTAAGGGGGTATACGTAGATATCGCATTTATTCAATATGTCTCCTTGTCGAATGTATAGATCTAGAGATTATATACAAAATGAATATCAGTATGATTCAGAAAGAAAATGTAAAACTGAAATACTTTGTATTTTCAAGAAATGTCCAAAACTTACAACTATGGTATTGTTAACTATATATCAATTAGTTTTATATCTTGCCAACCTATTCCCCATGGTAAGAAATTAATATTTCGAACAGTGGCATAGCATACATGTATACTTGTATGCCTAAGCATACACTAAACACTTTTAAGAAGATTTTTTTCAATCATGTCTTGTTATTAATTTCTTTTTTTATGATTAATATGGACCGTCCGTATCAATCATTAAAAAGAAAAGGAATAAAAAAATCTTCTTGAAAATTTTAGTCCGACAGAACATATTATACCGTGTTGTCCTCAGCTAATTGTTGAAGGACCTTTCAATATTATTAGCAAGTAAAACTTCTGAAAGGTGTTCCCAGAGCTGATTGCTTATAGGGCCTGGTATAATTTCTTTCAGCTACATTTGTATGTAAGCATACATTCCGAAATATGATTTGCTGTCCAGTTTTGCTGTATATGTACATGTACAGCAAAACTTGTCTAATTTGACCCAAGAGTCTTCTGACACTCTGCCTATATCAACATAATGATGGAATTCAATTTCCAATGAAAACTAACAGAGAATACTCGTGTATTCTGACATCCTCCCTAAACTGACTAGACTGGCTACCAGCCCCTAAGTTTTTATGAAAAATCTCTCAGTTGCATTTTACTAGCTTATATTTATCTCCCCCTAGTTTAGAACTAATTAGGAACTCTAGAATCAGACATCCAATGCAAGTGATCAAAAACTTTTGAGTTAAACGTTTTTCCTAATAATTAAATATTCTAGAGACGGTGGCCAGTCTATAATCTGACCAACATGCTGTATATTGTGTCCAATGTGGTATATGAAACAGGTTTCATTACGCTGTGTTCCTATATATAGCTACAGGGTATGCATATAATTGTTTACCAGTGAGATACAGAATTCAATCAAATTGAGTAGGATGATATATCTAACCTACTGTTGAGAGATGTATTACTGTTATCTTTCGCCTAGTAAATGAAATTAATCTGATAGTTGACTAATCAAAAGATCAATTCACTATACTCCATCTGCAAAATGGCTGATCATGCCCATTCTGAATGAGTTGAAACGGAGGTAAAAATTCCAAGTGGTCATATTGTTCACCACACCTGTAATTGTGAAATTAAAGTGAACTTTCATATTCTGTATGATCTTGCTGCAGTTATTATACATGTATGTACATGTATTGAGATAAAAGGCTTTTTCAGTCCACTAGCTAGCATTGAATTGTCTCACAAACAATTAATCTGCATATAGTGAGCTAATGAAGAATTAGATCCCCTTTAATTAGTTTTGGCTGCGTATATGTATGTCAAACCTTTGAGTGCTAGTCACAACTATAGTTGCGCTGTATGTCTGTGGCCACCACTGCTAGTCACAACTATAGTTGCGCTGTATGTCTGTGGCCACCACTGCTAGTCACAACTATAGTTGCACATTCTATAAAATGGTATTTTATATGGTCAACAGCTATAATCGTGTTGATTAAAATTTAATCAAACATATCAAATAACCAATTTCCATTGGTATTAATATGTTTTAATATTTTAATATTAACACAAGTATTATTTTTGCAATATTTTTACTAAAATTGTGACTTATGAAGTTATATCTAAATTTGAACTGCAGTGAAAATTAAATTTTCTGAATTTATTCAGCACTGATTGGGTACCGTATGTTATTTTAATGTAGCACTCTAAGGGTAATATACTTACTGATAAAAGGTACAGTAGTCTAGACTGAACCAGGTACAGCGAGCTCGGTACGACAGCTTACAGGGTTTGTACACCTGCTCAAACTTTGTCATAGTCTTGGCCTTTATAAAGGTACATTTGTGGTCACTTGCTCTGAAAAATAAACATAAAACTTATTTGTAAATAACAAAAATTTGTCTTTTGAAGACAATAAAAAAAAAGAAACCTGTATGTATGTGTATACGTTATCACTGAATGTATAAAACGGAGTACATGTAGCAAAAAATTATTTAATGTCAATCAATCATTGTTGTCTCAACTCAACCTCTGAAAATAACTCTGGTGAGTCAGTAAATGTCAGATTTCGGAATAATATCAAGACATTTCATACCAAATAGATGAATCTCATTCTGCATACAAAATTGTTTTGCAATTGTGATATTTAATTTTTAAATACTGCTGTCCAGGAAGATTAACTATAGTGTTCAAGTGCATACCCCAAAGTAATTTATAACATTGGCAATCATTTATCTCAAACATCCTTAAATATAAACAGCCTTAGCTATAATTGCATAGGTGTCAGTTCTGAAGCCTCCAATAAGGGATTGGTCCGGAGATCTCCTTATTCCACATGTACATTTTCAATGAGGGATTGGTGCGGAGATCTCTTTATTCCAAATGTATATTTCCAATGAGGGATTGGTCCGGAGATAGATCTCCTTATTCCACATGTACATTTCCAATGCGGGATTGGTCCGGAGATCTCCTTATTCCACATGTACATTTTCAATGAGGGATTGGTGCGGAGATCTCTTTATTACAAATGTATATTTCCAATGAGGGATTGGTCCGGAGATAGATCTCCTTATTCCACATGTAAATTTCCAATAAGGAATTGATCCAGAGATCTCCTTATTCCACATGTACATTTCCAATAAGGGATTGATCCGGAGATAGATCTCCTTATTCCACATGTACATTTCCAATAAGGAATTGATCCAGAGATCTCCTTATTCCACATGTACATTTCCAATGAGGGATGTGTGCGGAGATCTCCTTATTCCACATGTACATTTCCAATAAGGGATTGGTCCAGAGATGTCCTTATTCCACATGTAAATTTCCAATAAGGAATTGGTCCAGATATCTCCTTATTCCACGTGTACATTTCCAATGAGGGATGGGTCCAGAGATCTCCTTATTCAACATGTCCATTTCCAATGAGGGATTTGTGCGGAGAGCTCCTTATTCCACATGTACATTTTCAATGAGGGATTGGTGCGGAGATCTCTTTATTCCAAATGTATATTTCCAATGAGGGATTGGTCCGGACATAGATCTCCTTATTCCACATGTACATTTCCAATAAGGGATTGATCCAGAGATCTCCTTATTCCACATGTACATTTCCAATGAGGGATGGGTCCAGAGATCTCCTTATTCCACATGTACATTTCCAATAAGGGATTGGTCCGGAGATCTCCTTACTCCACATGTACATTTCCAATAAGTGATTGATCCGGAGATCTCCTTATTCCACATGTACATTTCCAATGAGGGATTGGTGCGGAGATCTCCTTATTCCACATGTACATTTCCAATAAGGGATTGATCCGGGGATCTCCTTATTCCACATGTACATTTCCAATAAGTGATTGATCCGGAGATCTCCTTATTCCTCATGTACATTTCCAATGAGGGATTGGTGCGGAGAACTCCTTATTCCACATGTTCATTTCCAATAAGGTATTGATCCGGAGATCTCCTTATTCCTCATGTACATTTCCAATGAGGGATTGGTGCGGAGAACTCCTTATTCCACATGTTCATTTCCAATAATGTTTTGGTTTGTAGATCTGCTTATTCCACATGTTCATTTCCAATAAGGTATTGATCCGGAGATCTCCTTATTCCACATGTACATTTCCAATGAGGGAGCCTGAGTATAAGAAAGTGCGTGAAACGCGACTGAAACTGCTTTGCTCAATTTATCTTTCCCTTTCTATTTATCAAAATACATGTACAAATATACTGTACATCCATTTAACATGTCCTTGTTTGTTTTTTGTCGCAATTATAACCCTCAAGAGCTTACAGTGTATGTTCCATGTTAATGAATAAAGCTTCTTGTATCTTGTAGAGATCTATCAATTTTTTCAATATATATGAAGACTGCGCATATATATAGATAAGGTTATAACGTCGATATATATTTAATCTATATATATATAGACCAAAACAATATAGGTGTTCTTAATTACTCCAGATAATTTAGATACAACAACTTTATGTATACTGTACTGATGTATCCATCGTCACTATATATATATAACCTTAGTTTTAATGCCGGATCTGTGAGGATCAGATTTTGAACTTGAGTATAGATCTAGCTTATCTGAAATATCAATGTTTCAAAATGATCTAATCATAAATCTCCAAAGTATTGTGTATACCTTTGAATATCTCTTTGACGTAATGAACGGGATCCCTACTGATTATATACTGTACTTGATTTATACACAAATGTTTACATGTGATATTTATTGGTAATATCAACCACATGTATGCACCTAGTGTTGGGTCAATCTACGTACTTTGTCTGGTGTTTTTGTTTCAAGTACATAAATAAGACAATTTCCGCAGACGATAAGTAATTATGATGCACACATGATTTGAAAACATTTACTCCTATCTAATTATTTAATCTATCACTGAAAATACATAGGTTGTAAAGTTGTTTTATTCTTAATTACATGACATGCACGCATGTACCCAGTTAATTAACAGCTGATGAGTATATTTCCTCCAGCTTGATGCCCCAGGCGAGTAGATTTCTGTCAGGGCTAGTGAAAATCTTTGAATATTTAGTATTACCCGTATACATGTTTTTGTATACATGTATATATGTTTACAATGAAAATATAGGAGAGCTGGAACATTAGAAAGTATGCCTGTGGCTCTAGCTAGTACAATTACTCTTAAAATATTTAAAATTGTACACCTTTGATTGACATCACTGATTACAAATATATATGTAACAGGAAAGGAAATATGCAATGGCCTATGGCCAGACCAGGATTTGAGCATAGGACCTACAAAGTCAAGACAGAGCTCCAACCAATCATTTCAAATCAATAAACTTACATTTTGTAATATTAGGTTGATGTGAATTTGTTTAAGGTATGATTATATTACCCAGTGTTAACATGTTTATCTAATTTCAATATTGACTTTAGTGTATTGCCGATGTCCATGTCTCTATTAACCGATATAATACCATGTACAAACAGTGTCAAGGTTTCAGTTTTGTTTAGAATGTAAACAAACCCTAGCACTATAGGCCTGTTATAATTACCAGCAGATTAAAATTAACCTCGTGAAGAGATATTATAAATACAGTCAGATTTTTTCCATTCATTCATTCCGCACACAACTCTGATCTCCATATTTTGGAGGGAGACTCCTGAGTTTGGACCCTTAAAGTGAGCACGTTCAACAAGTGAATTTGTTAAACTATTCTTATTTTCTAAGATCTAAAATTTAGATAGAAAAAAAACAATGACAATATATAGTTGTAAAAGGTTCTTTCAGACAAATGAACACTTAGATCTGTGAACTTGAATGTGCATGAAGGTCATTCACTTGAACAAACATGGTAACTTTTTTATTTATTATCCTTACATGCTACACTGCATGGCCACTTATCATCACCCCAGGTCTTTTGGTTTAATATTTAGAAGAAGTTGTTTATAGGTTTATTAAAGAAAATTGACTAATGTGACCTTGAATATGAGTGAAGGTCATTCATTAAAACAAACTTGGTAGCCCTTCATCACAGCGTGCATCATCATGATCATAGCCATGTTACTGATCAGATATTATCCAAATCATCCTGTGCCTCTTGGTTATGCAGAAGAAGTTGTTTGAACAATTTGCAAACATTTGATCCCAGTGACCTTGCAGGTGGGTCAAGGTCATTAATTTGAACAAACTTGGTAGCACCCTTAAAGCTTTATCCCAGCATGCTACTGGCCAGATATCATGACCCTGGGCCTTTTGGTTATTGAGAAGAAGTTGTTTAATCATAAAGAAAATGTTGACATGGGACGGACGCCACACCATTGTTCTCTTGGCCTTCCCAGCCAGATGAGCAGAAAACTGTATTGATCAGTGTACGTAGCTATATCAAATACTTAAATTATCAGCTATGTGCATGTCTCTTCTCAAGCCAACATTTTTTATTGTTTTTTTTAAACATTTCAGATCATTTTGGAATAGCATTATTTGACTCTATTATTATAATAAACTGCAGACTGAATGCTGACTTGTTTTTTTGATTGCTTAAAAATCAAACACATTTGAGAACTAGAAAATTCAAATGAGAAATAGGACGAGGACTAGCTATATATATATATAGTGATAAAGATAGTGCCGTCGCTGGGGCTCGCACCCACAATCCTTGGCTCTCAAGCCTGATGCTCTACCACTGCCAATTTGTAGTAGGACGAGGAATAGTGATAAAGATAGTATTGTCGATTGGACTCAAACCCCGCGACCTTGGCTCTCCAGCCCGATGCTCTACCGCTGAGCTAAACGGAAATTCCCTACAGCTGACACTTGTAAGGCAACCTAATCATTATGTATTATACATGATGTACATCTTAAGACGGTGATTGGCTCTAGATCTGTATACATTTACACCTGTCGTTATCCATCATTTATAAATTTACACCTGTCGTTATCCATCATTTATACATTTACACCTGTCGTTATCCATCATTTATACATTTACACCTGTTGTCATCCATCATTTATACATTTACACCTGTCGTTATCCATCATTTATACATTTACACCTGTCGTTATCAATCATTTATACATTTACACCTGTCGTTATCCATTATTTATACATTTACATCTGTCGTTATCCATCATTAGCTTGGCTCTAGATCTGTATACATTTACACCTGTCGTTATCCATCATTTATACATTTACACCTGTCGTTATCCATTATTTATACATTTACATCTCTCGTTATCCATCATTAGCTTGGTTCTAGATCTGTATACATTTACACCTGTCGTTATCCATCATTTATACATTTACACCTGTTGTTATCCATCATTTATACATTTACACCTGTCATTATCCATCATTTATACATTTACACCTGTCGTTATCCATCATTTATACATTTACACCTTTCGTTATCCATCATGTATACATTTACACCTCTCGTTATCCATCATTGATCCATTTACACCTGTCGCTATCCATCATTTATATATTTACACCTGTCGTTATGCATCATTTATACATTAACACCTGTCGTTATCCATGATTTATACATTTACATCTCTCGGTATCCATCATTAGCTTGGTTCTAGACCTGTATACATTTACACCTATCGTTATCCATCATTAATACATTTACTCCTGTCGTTATCCATTATTTATACATTTATATCTCTCGTTATCCATAATTAGCTTGGTTCTAGATTTGTATACATTTACACCTTTCGTTATCCATCATTTAAACATTTACACCTGTCGTTATCCCTCATTAGCTTGGCTCTAGATCTGTATGCATTTACACCTGTCGTGATCCATCATTTATACGTTTACACCTGTCGTTACCAATCCTAAGCTTGGCTATAGATCTGTATACATTTAGACCTGTCGTTATCCATTATTTATACATTTGCACCTGTCGTTATCCCTCATTAGCTTGGCTCTAGACCTGTATACATTTACACCTTTCGTTATCCATCATTAGCTTGGTTCTAGATCTGTATACATTTCCACCTGTCATTATCCAACATTTATACATTTACCCCTGTCGTTATCCATTATTTATACATTTACATCTCTCGGTATCCATCATTAGCTTGGTTCTAGATTTGTATACATTTACACCCGTCGTTATCCATCATTTATACATTTACACCTGTCGTTATCCATCACTAGCTTACATGCATGATTATCTCACTTTGCCCTCAGCATGAAACATGATTAGTCTCAGGGAAACAGAAAATGATGTTTCCCTAAAACATCAACAATAGCCAATACATGTGCCAGAGAGAATAATCCCCTTTTAAAGTCATGTTCCATATATGAAGACCAGTATGGATAAAAATTACACTAATGACAGAAAAAATGTCTAATTTCACCTCAAGGTTCAAATCCCAGTCTGGCCCCTTAATTATTGCTCTTTTGTTACAATACTTTTAAAACCTTCCACATCTATAATATTCATCCCAGAACTCACTCACGGATGTTCTGGAATTCTGACTGTAAACCAAGCCTTTAACCAACAAATTAGTCTGTTTGAACAATAATATAACAGTACCCCAGTTTTGATATACAGTTAGTAATTTGTTTAAACAGGCTATAAATTTCACAATTTCACAATTTATAGTCAAGAGTTTTCAAACATCTTTCTATCATCCTTAAAATAGAAAATTAGGAATTGTTCATAGTATAAGGGTTGATTATTAAAAAGTCAAAGTCAGAAATTACTGAATAATAATTAGGTCTATATTTATTTGGCGGAGATCTCAACCTGATCATTTTCAAGAGATCACGAGAAAGTCAGTTCTTTCTGATCTCAACAAGTATTTTTTTATATCAATTTCAACTTAAAGAGAATTATAAGTTTAATTTATAAATATTAAACCTACAAAAAGTATAAGTATTAGATCTAGACCTAACTACAGTACTTATCATGACTATGTACCCTATAGTACTAGTGTGTACATAGGTTATAACCGATATAAAATGCTCTCACTACATCCTATTAGAAGTCTCATCGCCGTGGTGGACTGATGTCCACTGTATATATATATATATATAGTACTGACACTAGTAGAGTACGTACTATCCTAAGTTTTATTAAAGACTCACCCAATAAATGTCACTGAAGCCAGAGTAGTGAAAAGCACCATCATCCATCCATATAAATCCATTTTGTTTAATGTGAGAGTCAAGTTTACAACTGAGAATATATAGGATACACACTCGGTTTCTATAGAGCTGAGATGAATGATCTACAATGTATAATATCACGAGCCATGTGAGTGCGCATAACACAAAGCGTTGTTTTGATATTTCGCCAATAATTCAGACCGACGTCACACTCATGTTTGTATCACGTTCGCCTCCTTTTTCTATATTCCTGTTTCCGTGTGTATTCCTTTCATTTCCTTAGTGAACAGATGTCAGCTGAACCACGTAATGTTGAACGCATATATGTTACTTCCATGTGACAGATGGAGGCTTACTGCTTTCGACTTTGGACCTCAGAATGTACACAAAGGGGAGGTAACTGTAATATTCTGCCACACCTGATTATTGATCTAGTACGTATCACACCACTATTTTAACATGGCTATTTCTATTTGCTTTACAATCTACAATCGAGTATCGATAAAGGTTCCCATATACAGAATAAAAATGATAACTTACAACTTGTAAAGCAAGCATTCAAAGATAAAAAGAAAAAAAAGAAAAAAAAGTTATTTTCTTTCTGTTTTCAATATGTCACTGTTATTTCACGTTTCGAATATTTACTAATACCACGGAATTAGATCTAAGTCCGTGCTAATACATGTATATAGTTCATTCCATTTTCTAATTCCGTGGACTCCACTAGACAAAATAGAAACAGATAATACAATAATTGGTGGATTTTACTATGATGTGATTGGGTAAAAAACAATTAAATAATTTCCTTATGACGTATTTGATAAACAAGAAAATCCTACTCATATATTTTCTTTCTTTTGAAAGACGAAATATACGCTACATTTACGATCATGTTTCTGAATTTCATTAAAGCCAGTTAATAATTTGGACACCGACCGCCATTTCAACAAACGTTTATAACTGGCAATGCTAATTGTTCAATCAAGCCATTCTTAGCGGTACATTTAAACTAGAGTTACAGTGTATTATGATTGGATCTAACTATCACATCTGGTCCACCAACACCAACGCAGGTTCTTTGACTCCCCGCCAGAAGTGAAATGATTGGAATGTGGATTTTGATAAACTCAAAGTCATTTCCTTAAAATGTTCCTTCTTCTATCATAGTTTTTGACCTCTCCGTTCTGTACACTACCGGACATCAAACGATATTGAAGGAACGTCTTCGTTATTTTCTTGCGAGAACTCACTTTTCCAAGAAAGACGAAAGCAGATATGTATATATATGGTTGCGAACTAATTTTGAGTATATTTCTTGAAAACAAGGATTTACGAAAGATGCATGTAGATGGAGAAAAAGGCAAGTTTTATAATCGTCATGGTGATCTCATTGGGAAATATGTTTTAGACTTTGTGTGATATGAAGGTCGATGTTTGTTCATTATATAGTGTGCATTCTTGTTTCGATGTCGATACCCAAGTCATCGCATTTAATGCCTAAAGTCTATTGGAAATTCTCGCAACTGAAGTCAAGATATTGTCAACCAGAAACTCGATCCTTCTCAATATTTCATTCTCCAGTATATTCCTAATTTGCATTTGTTGTGTTTTCACAAATTGTGATCGAAAGTAGATTCCAACCATAGATTTATATTTCCATTCGTCTCTTCTGGAAACGAAAAATTTGATAATAAGACAACAAAGGCTTTCCTTCTGTTTGGTATGATGTAATGTAGTGTAAAGAGTGCACAACTTGTAATAGCAGAAAAAAACAAGAGGCCCAATGGGCATTTATCGCTCACCTGGTATTAATATCATAATTGTAACATTAAGAGTGGACTGAAATAAAGCTACAGGCAAAATATCAGTGTCTGGACTTAAGTCATTCAAAAGAACCTGTTAAATGATTAAAACACATTTGACCCCTGTGACCTTAAAAGCCAAACATGGACATTGCATTAAACAAACTCTATAGCCTTCCTTACAGAATGCAACTTGTCAAACATCACCCTAATGGCACTATACCTTTTGTTTATTGAGGTGACCTTTAAAGATTTATGCACTGTGGACCAGATGTGACTTTGAAAGTATGTCAAGGTCATTCACATGAACAACCGATCACCCTGGAACCTTAAGTTATTCAGAAGTTGTTTTAAAGTATGTTTAAGACAAATAACCCCTATGACCATGACTATGAGTGAAGGTCATTCATTTGAACAAACATGGTAGCTCTTCATCCCAGCATGCTACTAGCCAAATATTATCAGCTTGGGTCTCTTGGTTATTAAGAAGTTGTTAAAAGTTTTCAACATATATAACCCCTGTGACCTTGAAGATGGGCAAAGGTCATTTCTGTTGTCAGGCTTCAACCTAGGAACCTATCAGCCAAATATCACGCTCATCTGGGCCTTTCAGTTAATCAGGAGAAGTCGTTTGAAGGTTTTAATAAATTTTACCCCTGTGACCTTGAATATGGGTCAAGGTCATTTCTTTTCGCAAACTTTCTTGGGCTTTATCCTAGAAAGCTATCAGCTAAATATCACGCTTCTGGGCCTTTTGGTTAATCAGAAGAAGTCGTTTAAAGGTTTTAACAAATTTGACCCCTGTGACCTTGAATATGGGTCAAGGTCATTTCTTTTCGCAAACTGTGTTGGGCTTTATCCTAGAAACCTATCAGCCAAATATCACGCTTCTATGCCTTTTGGTTAATCAGAAGAAGTCGTTTAAAGGTTTTAACAATTTTGACCCCTGTGACCTTGAATATAGGTCAAGGTCATTTCTTTTTGCAAACATTTTTGGGCTTCATCCTAGCAACAAACCAGCCAAATATCATGACATTTGACTTGTTGGTTATTGAGAAGAAGTTGTTTAAATGGAAAAATTGACGCCGTACGGACGACGGGCGCCGCGCCACGGCACAAGTATGAAGAGTTGATGTTCTAGATTGATCAAAAGATCTTTTGAAATCTTTAGAATAAAAAATTCGTAAAATCCATCCCTGTTGTTAACAGACTGTGATCCTGACTTAACGGTACAAAAACGTTTGGACGATGGCTTGGTTCAGCAACTAGCAGAGTCTGCAACAAAACGTTGTTTATAAGAGTTTTTGTGAAGTGTGGGAGTCAAAAACAAGCTAGTATTTCGTTTTCGAAAACAAACAAAATGGAAAATCTATAAGGAGGGTTTCCTTTGTTATCAAAAAAGCGTAGTTGTTTTTGCAAGAAGGAGTTTTAATAGTGTTTGCAGATAATGATTAAGTTTTCAGATGCCTTGTCTGCAGAACTGATCAAGTTAAGTGTGGTTTGGACAAAGTGAACTTAATTCGGCATGCTCTCCCTTTGTCCATAGTCTGGCAAAGTCTTCCATAGTCCGAATTATTCTTTCGTTTTATCGACTTTTTTTATATCGGTCTGTCGTCGTTAATCGACGACAGACCGAAATAAACAAAAGTCGATAAAACGTCGGAATACTTCGGACTAAGTCTTCCATTGCATCCATCGATATCTTGAAATTCTCATTCCATTGGATTGTTGGAGTCTCTCGATACCTGGGTCCACCCGTGGCAGTTTTACAGTAATTATAGATTTATGTGTCCATGTGTCCAGCATGACCATAGCTGTGTGTGGAGTTAGAACAAGAACCTGCTAAAGGAGGAGTTGTTCTAAGGTCGTATAATTCCAGGTGTTGTAACGTGTGCTAGTAGTTGATATGCTTGGAAGCGGCGAGTTCATAGCATAACTACGAAAACTTATTGGAGAATTTTTGTATCTGAAGTACATGTACGTTGGTGTGTTTGCTTCTGTGGAGTTTTAGTATAAGATATTACTGATGTATATAGCTTCTATCAATTCAGCAAATTCTACTTCCACCAAACTCCGATTTACCGGAGAGTCGTAACAAGGTTGTTCGAACATGGTGGTGGACACCAAATGGTTTTTTCTCTCTCTTAGAGTTTCCACAATGTCTTCAAACATAACATGGTACTCGGTTTGACTGTTGTAATGGCATGTCATAGAATGATCTCATCGATACATTGGTTCATTATTAACAATGTTTATACTTAGTTACACTTTTTCTGATTCAAGAACAAAAAATATACAAGTATATTTTCTCTTGTCGAGATGATTTTGTCTTAAAAATCAATTAATTTGCTTATTACCACTGTTTTTATAACCAGATGAGACAAAATTATAAACAGGGAAACCAACGGAAGAGTGAATTTCCCGTTATATATTTATATCTAGGATGGTTCATATCGAAATCTGATGTACTAGTGAACATGCTTTGAATGAAATGAAATATCCAACATTGAACACAATTTTATTTGTGTGAACATTTATCTTTAAATTTACAAAGGAAAAAAATAACCAATGAATATAAACTATTTATACATACCCACCCCTCGATAATGATGCATCATATATTTCATGTATATACATACCTACATTTGTACATACATAACACACGTGACAACATTGTGTTAATTAAGTACATGCATGATAACAGTCTGAGTTTATGAAACTCATTTGTATACAGTTGCGATTATCATAAGTCACACTATAATTAGATAAGTTAAATTAGAACCCACTTGGGACAAAACACATGACGTAAGATTTAGTCGAAGGGAAAATTATAAAATAATAAAGTTATCTCCCTTGTACCATAATTATGATAATGTGATTTTCTTTTTCTATTTTTTAGTGCATGCATAAAAATTATAAATATTTGTACCCATTTAACAATAAAAGGCCTCGTGATGGCAAAACAGTACAAATATGTAATATAGTAGAGTAATAATGATAGATCTGCTAATTATATCAATCACCTTAAATAATCACTAGAGAAGCATCTATCGAAAAATTTGGTTAGTTTATGCAGAGACGTATATAATATGTCTCTGGTTGATGCAGATAGACAAACAAAAGTATGTTATGTCTCAAACTCATTTAGTGTATATCTGTACATCTATGCAACCATAATGGCTAATTACAAAATAGACTTACCTCTCTTAAAAATCATGGAAGACAAAGATAAGGAGAACAGCTGGTGCACAGTATAAAGGACATAAAAGACAGTTTAAAAGTCGGTCTCGTTTACTGATACATAAGTTCAACACATATAAGAAAGTGTCCACTTTAACCTGTGTAGTTTTCTCTAGTTTTCTCTTCCACATACGTACTCCTGCTTACCATCATACGCTGGATGTGTCATTAACGAAAGTCGATCTGTATCCTCAACTGTTGCTCAGTTTATAAACTCACTTTACTCTGTCACGTTCTCGAACTTTGTTCATGGAAAGTTCGCGCTTGCTATGTCCTCTGCTACGTATATTGTCCTGATTTTCGTAACTTCTGTTTGATTTTGTCACAGAGTTATCAACATCACCATTG